AATTAAGAAGACAGAAGATAACGACTGGCATTGCATTTAAATTTTAAGTAAACGTCAGACTTGATTAGAAAGCAAGAAGCTGAAAAAGAGTTCCACAAGCAAGCAGCGCGAGAGAAGAAACTGTTAACATAAAACTTACGGTTACAACTAGCTATTTCAATTATAAAATGTTGTCATTCTAGTACTGCGTTTAAATTCGTAAAGGTCGAGGTACCAAAGAGGAATTTTATCGGAACAATAACCAAGACAATATTTATAATTAAAGGCTTGGGGAAGCTACGTCACGGCGGTGAGAAAAGTGACTGAAGGTGATGCGCCATGTCAGGATCGATAACATTGCAGATTCTTATTTGGATTTTATCAAGAATCTCTAATTATATAGCAGAAACACCAGATCAGATGTCACAGTCATATTCAATGCATGGACGAATGTCAAACTTGTAAATATGTAAGATAGATTCTGGCGAGAAAACTTGTCTATCCTGACACAGTATACCAACTTTCCTAGCAGCAAACTTAGCAATTGATTCGATATGTCGATTCCGTTTCATGTCAGCAGGAAACCTGGACCGGGAATACGCAATGAGTAACTCTCCTGGACGATAGCATCAGTTAAGCTGATGGAAGGCAAAAAAAAAAAAAAACGATTAAAAGAGAGCAGTTTCTTTTTGAAGGCGTTAAGGTTTACAAGCCACTTCTTGCCCCAGTTAATAAAATATTGTCGGTCATTTTTAAGATCAGCTACCAAATGAGCTTAAATCTTACCTTATCGGACTGATCAGATTTACCGTTAAGACAGATAGGGCAGCAATAATTCATTTTTTGTTTAACATGACATTTGTAAAGATAAAATATATGTAGCTGAGTGGTTAGAAGGTTTGCATTCTAACAATGAGACCCGGGTTCGAATCTCGCCATGGTCGATTTATCATTAAGGTGATTTCCTGATGTTATCGGACTGGAGGAGTCGATCCCAGCGTGCAGCATCTTTGGATAGTGCCTGAAAACCATTCCACGGGTTGACCTAAGCTTGGTGAGTGAAAATGGGTAGACAGAACCCTTGGGGGCTATCGATAGCTGTGCTAGCACAAAGTCACAAGTCATCGTGGCCGAGGGCTTGAGCGTACTGGCCTTGTTCAAATTGTTGATCACGCTAGATAACACGCTCTTTCCCAGAAACTGTAACTAAAGTCAGCTCAACATAGATGCAGGATAAACCACGAGTGGACTCTGTGGGTGTTGAATAAACACAAATGCGCCTAAGCAAGCGTCTGCAGTAGGGATTGTCTATCCTAGTAGACAGGTATCCTCGAATACGAATGGCCAGCTTTACTACTACTACTAAAGATAAAATATGGCAGAAGGAATCAGCTATTTTCTTAGAGCAGTACAAGGGACCGGAAATATTTCCTACATTTTTAGCTATGGATCTTAAATAAGAGTTTTAGTTAAGTTCTAAATTGAAATTGAATTTCAACAGACGTTCAAAGCAGTGAGCTTCGCCGGGAATGCAACCATTCATTGTGACGGGGAAAAGCTCAAGGTGTGATCAGTTACCAGTTATTGGAAGGTACAAGCCAGTTTTTTTTTCCCATTGAGTTCCTCTAGATCAGCGCGAAGATCAGCTATAAGGCTCTGAACATCGTGATTTTTGGCAATGGTAATTATATCGTTAATATTAGCCAATCCGATCGGCTCGATAAGGTCAAATTGGCGACTGATGTCAATAACGATCTTCAGTCTATTGTTAACTAGGGAAAAGGATAGCTTGTTAATTTTAACGCCTCCAAAACTACGTTGCTCTCTATTAATCATCTGAGAGACCCCTTTATGCATTCCTGCATGGCTGATGCTAACCTCCAGGAAAGTGACTCGTTGCGCCTTCTAAGGCTAACGTTCTCGGCTGACATGAAGTGGAAAGACTATATTGAATCCATTGCATATCTAGAAGTCCACCATTCGTCCATGCTTAGAATATTGCTGCCACATATAGTCCAGCGCTCTTGCTACATATCTAGAGAACCTTGATAAAATCTAAGGAAGAATCAATAATACCATTGGTCCTGATCTGGCAGCCCGCTGATCTAGAAGAACTCAATGGGAAAAAAAAACTGGCTTGTACCTTCCAATAACTGGTAACTGATCACACCTTGAGCTTTTTCCCGTCACAATGAGTGGTTGCATTCCCGGCGAAGCTCACTGCTTTGAACGTCTGTTGAAATTCAATCTTTAACATCGCTGTAAGATTGCCTCCTGGTGACTTTTCTATAAATGCTTTCATAGTAATTGTTCGGATGAGCTCTTTGCTATAGTATAGGATTGTGGTTGTTTTTTATTACTAATATTATTTTGTTTCGTATATTGTAAATACTCATTGGGGCTAGTTTTTAAATTTTTGTTTTATTCACCCCTTACTCCCGACACACACAGTGAATTGTACATATGGGGACTAGTTAGGTTTTTTTTATAGAGACCATGAATTATTATGGTGGATGTAGTAAGAAAGGTAAGTAAGAATGTGTTGTTTTAGTGTTAGGAATATTGTTTGTATGTTTGAGTCAGCATTTGTTGCTAGCTAAGTTTAAATTTAAGACAGAAGAAGACTCCATTCCCCATTTTTGGCCTTGTGCTACATTTTCTGTATTGAAACGGAAATAAATATCGCTCTTCGCTATAGTACCTAGACGTCATGAATATAAGCAAAGTACTACACTGGTAACGAGGTTCCATCATAATGCAGTTGAATTGGTTAGGTGTAAGCGTAAGTTCTATGCTAGCTGTTTCTTTTCTCGCACTTCTCTCATGTGGAAATCTATTCCGGCTCCATGTTTTCCAGCCAACTTTAATCTTTAATGTAAATGCAATGTCAATCGCTATCTACTGTCCCCCTGATTACTCTTCTTCTGTACTCGCTGCTTATCGATGGTTCTATTTCTGATTCTTTCACACACACACACACACACACACACACACACACACACACACACACACACACACACACACACACACAACATATCCTCCTAGCAACTACTCCACGGTGAAACCCCCGATTATTTACTTAATTTTGATTATTAATGCACACAACCTCGAAAGACTACTTCTATGAAAAGAACTTGTAACTTGACCACATCGTTGTAGCAGCCAGAATATATTCCCATCCCAGAGTATATCTAAAATTATTCTAGGCTCGGCTATTTTTTTTTATCTCCAAGATATATGTTAGGCTAGGCCAATCTATATATATAATCTTGCATTTTATTACGTAATATGATAGAGAATAGGCGGGTGCGGACTACCGGTGCCTCATAGCCAGCTGCTTCGGATTGATGGAGTTCGTCAGTTATGGAAGGCAGACCATCTAAGGGAAGAAAAATCCTGATTTTAAATCTCCGCTGCTTTGTGGCCATATCCATGGAAGTAACTCTAGACAAAAAATCCGGAGTAGAGCACCGAAGTCGATTGGCTGTCAAAACTAATAGACTTTCGGCGACTTAGACGGCCAAGCCTGTATTCCTTTGGATATTATATTTGAGATAGGAGCCACGTGGTCTCGCAAGCGCATGGCCTCGGTACACCATCACCCAGGAGTGTGCCCTGGAGAGGTCACACCAGTCTCACCACCAAAGAACTGGATTTTGACCAAAGAAGGTGCTACGGATTCTTATACAAACTATGACTAGCTATGCCATCAGAATGACTCTTCTCATCATCAGTACACTTGCTTCTGGTAAGAAAACGAGTGCTGTTTTCTTAGTAGATTCATTTGGAATGCCGTACGTTTGGGTTGCTTTAATTTTTACGGTTTATCAACCTTTATCAACAGAATATTTAAACTTAGAAAGTATTTTTATATTGTAAGAATATTTTGTCGTTTTCAGATAATAAGTATTTACAGATACAAGTCCAACTACGTAACCCATAGCTAGTGGGGGGGGGAGAATGGGTGGATTTATACCTTTCCCAAGTTTATTTGCGTACAAGTAAATGTAAGAAACTCAGCTGCGGGAGGAATATTTCATCACCGCCGACTCAACACCAGCCAACTCATCTCCGTAACAACGCACCTTCAGTCCACTTAGCGCGAGGACAACTCAACGCTGGCGTCGAATTCATAGTTTCAAACATGCTATGGTGTGTGCACATCTCTTAGGTTTTGAATCGTCGAGATTTTGAAAATTTGGGTGTTTGCCTTCGTGATTTATTAGTTACACCAGTCTATCTGACTGACTGGTATTTAATTGTCAAGATCGGAGAAATAACCACGCTGAAGCAAATAGAAGACGACACACAAACCTGGGGATGGAGGACCCCACAAGATGAAGATTCATTACGGTGCTGCGAAAGATGCAAAGAAACCAATATGCATTTTTAAAGCAATTAAGCAAGTCGAGCAAATGAAAATCATTTCTCTTGCCCCTAAATTGAAGGCAGATTGTTGTGATGTGGGGTCTGGCAAGACACAACACTTAACTCGACAGAGTGATTCGTGATAGTAGTATTCAATACTCAGCCTGACAAGTCGCTGCAATAGTAATATCTTCTCTTTTTATCTCCAGGGATACTTATCATGAATGGATCAGTCCATTCTTGAAAATAAAGAGTTTCACTGGCCCTTACTACAACACAGAAGAGAGACTTTTGCAGATTCTTTCTTCTTTTTCCCAACGGTCTCCAATTGAATATTTGAGGGGAATCGCATACAATTTTCAATAAATTTTAAAATTAAAAAATAAAGTCATGTATTAAAAAAAAAATGATCCTTAATAAATTACTTTTATTTGTTTTTAAAAATTCGACGAAAAAATAGTTTGCATGTCGTTGAGTTGTCCTCGCGCTGAGTAGGCTGGTGTCGAGTTGTTCTGGAGCTGAGCTGTCATGGACATGAGTCGGTGACGTTAAGATGGCGGTGATGAGTCGTCCTGCACCCCCTCCACAACTGAAATTAGAGAGTCGATTTCCAATTCCGATACGTTATCCATTACATTACCTGCACACCCAAGCTTACTGCACCTGGCATTCTCAGTCGGTTACCCATCTAGATACTGGCCAGGCTCGACGTTGCTTAACTTCAATAATCGTAGGAGAACCGGTGTTTCAGGCATGCTGAGGCAAATTCTACCTATTTTCTGAAGGTGCTGTTGATTGTCATCTGCAGATGGTAAATTTAATTTAAGCAACAATTAGTAAACCAAGTTTCTTCTACGAAAAAGAGTATAGTGAATCTATCGTTGAGATGAGCTTTGCAATATTTTTGCAAGTTGTATGTTCTCTTACTCTGTCAGTAAATCAGATGATGGTTTAAAAATGTCGGGTAGTATTAATTAGCCCCTGTGGAGAGTTTTTGGTTGGGCCTTAATCACAATAGGTAGGAAGGAGTAGATGCGATAGGCAACAATAAACTACAGAACAACTCAAAATTAATCGCTGCATTTAAGTATGGCATTAATATTTAAGCATGCCTTAAAAAGCTCAACGATAAATTCTTCTGTCGCCACTTAATATAAAGAAAATTTGATGTACGTAGGTCCTTACTTTCTGTACAAGCAATTATTCTTATTTCAGCGGTGACATTCGCTGGATTTTGCAATTAATTTCGATTATTCCCAAATTTATTTTTAAAGTTATAAAAATTGTTATCTTCCAAAAATATCGTCTTAAAAATCACGTAGAAAAAGCACCGAAATCAATCGTAGCAATGAAAACTTGTGAATCTAAAATTTCAGGAGTACGGGTTCGGATCCGACACGGAATGTTTTTAGTTTGCTCACGAAGTCGGTCTGATTCCAAAATAATATAATATGTTGGGCTACGGCCTCTAGGAGTAAAGTTGATTAAGTTATGACACACTGACATTTGCATTTATTATATAGAAGCTGAGCTATTGAAAGTTAGAAAGTTGAGTCCCTTTAAATGAAAAAGTGTGACATAGTGACACACTGACATTCGCATTTAATACAGAGATATAAGTAAAGACTGTTCTAGAACGGCTGATGGGTTATCGGGAGTTAATTTGTTTTGTTTTTGTTTTCGATTTATTTTAATCTGGCAGTAAATTGAATAGTAGGTCAATCTGTTTTTTTTTGTGGGGGGATATTCATGAAACAAGGATCGTCTTGGTGTAGCTTATAAAATATATAGACAAGAGTTTCTTTGTCTTGAATCTTCTTACTCTGGAAATTAGTGATTGAAGAAATTTCGTAGAAGTAACGATTTTTTTTCAGTACGTTTTATGAGCTATCTCACACCTTAATCATTATACAATTGGTATATGATACCAGAATACAGATTGCTCACAAATTTTACAGCAGACCAAAGAAGCCGGGTGCACCAGGGTGTTCACCTGGGGTCAGTCCCAGCCACGGGCGTTCTCATGCTTACACATACTTTCAGTATTGTAAGCATGAGAACGAGAATGTGAGGGAGCTTTGTTATAGAAACAGCCATCTCAGGCATCATTGACTGCATGCATATATATGAAAAATTTCTCAGAATTAACTAATTAACTTATAACTTAACTAATGCACTAGTCATACATAGAAATAAATTCAACCACAATTTTGATTTTAATAATGCTACACTCAAAAAAAAAAAAAAAAAAACTCACTCAGAAGGAAAATCCTCGAGAGTGCCGCCATTGAATATTATCCAAATATTAATCTACGCCAAGGTTTTTTTTTCCCAATATCACCTTTCCTAACAATTACTATTCTCCCAAGCAATTGTACACAACTGTATTAAGAAATCAAAAGAAAATGGTTGAATCCGTCAATACAGCAATGAAAACAATATTTCCACACGTGACAGTACTAGACGTAATTTTCATTTGATAATATGAATATAGTAGCGTTTTCTAAATTCTTCCAGTTGCTAAGGATATTTGTTTTGTTGTTAATAGTTACTTTGTTTTAGTAAATTAATTTCGTTTTTGCCTTGAAAAAGTCCGCGTCGGATAATTTCCCTATTATTTTATTAGTTTCCATATTGTCTTTTACCTTTATAAATACATACATACATATATATATATATATATATATCCAAGTATAGGATTGGTGTATACGGAATAAATTCCAATAAACAAAAAATACTGTTCTTAAAAGTGTGCTCAATACAGAGTAGGGAAAATATAATTATTTGTTCGAAAATTATAACGTAAATATATTATAAAATCACTACAAAAATAGCCATTTTGTTTCAACACTTCTGATGTCTTGTCAAGCCTTGATAAGACATCAGAAATGTGTGTGAATTACAATCAATTAACATGTTAACATTTTTAACAAATGCATGTGCATTGACAAGTCCATGGAAATTTATTCCCGAGGACGAAATGGCCATCTGTATGGGGTAATTTGTTTGTGTTTCATTGATTTTAACTCACTTATATGCTCTATAATATAAATTATATTGACATCTAAGATATATACGTGTGTATATATACGTGTATATATATATATATATATATATATATATAATAATAATAATATTTTTGTTTAAAAATATGATTCTTTCGCTACATAAGAGTTCTCATGTTTCAAAAACGAGAGCCGAAATCATCCAAATAATTATTAAAATTAAGTTGAATTGAGGTGTTTAGTCACGTTTCATCTTCAAGCGAAATTTTAGGAAACCTAAAATTTTCCTAAAATTTCGATTGAAGATGAAATAATAATTATTTGGATGATTTCGGCTCTCGTTTTTTAAACATGAGAACTCTTATGTAACGAAGGAATCATATTTTTTTAAACAAAAAAATATTATTATAATAAAGCTCTACTTCTGTATGGAGCACTGTCTTCTTAAAAATAAAAAACAAAAATACTAAGGAACTCCGGATTATGTACCCAACGTTTTCTTTTCTATTTTCTGCATACCTGCGCACTTATACTTATATATATATATATATATATATATATATATATATATATATATATATATATATATATATATATATCAGAAACTCTACTTGTAGAACCAAAATGAAAAATAAACAAAATATTTTAATAACAACCCCTGATTATGATTAAAAGTGACTTTTGTAAGTTATTTAACATCGACAATGTCAAACAGACATGCTTGTATTCAGTAACAATAATGAGAAAAAACCCAGCAAAAATGCGAAAGAGTAACTGAGGTTAAAATCTCGAACGAAGGGTGAAAGAAATTTAAAAAAGAACAAAAAGAAAGGACGCAAATATAATCAATGGGAAAATCCGTAGACAATGAGAAAAAGAAACTAAAAGTACGAAAAGAATTCCTTATATATATATATATATATATATATATATATATATATATATATATATATATATATATATGTCATCATTTCGCATGTAACGAGGTTATCAAACTAATTGAAGCCTTCTTCCTGCATCCTACTTATCATGCTAAAAGCCCTTTCCGGTTATACGCTGATTTTCCGGTCAGGGAAACAAAGCCCTTGTGATTGTTGCCGGAAATGGATTTCAACACGAAGCTTTTAGATCTCGCCAGAACCAATGATAATGGATTTCCACCTGCGTTCGAGTGAAAAATGGACGGCATTTTGCTGCTTTCGATAATAATAATAATAATAATAATAATAATAATAATAATAATAATAATGTCGTGCACATTTCATTGGCAGGTATGTCACGTAGCGAAACATCGAATAAACTCACACACTTTCATGATCACCATAAAACACACAAATGTGCGCATGCGCACTGCACCTATAAAAATGCGTATGCTGGCTGTATAGAAACGGGAACAAATGCTTACTGTGTGAAGAAGAATGAATAGCGCCCACGTTATTTTGCTGAGATGTGTACACTAGACATATTTTTTGAAACTGAAGCTTGTTTTTCATAAAAATATTGCATCATTCATTCATTTATTTTTAGACCAAGTAATAAAAGGCAAAACTTTGCTAAGAATGAAAAGACATAAAAGTGTCATAACGGTAAACGAATATAACAGCCGTTGAAGCGATTGCCTGAGCTACAATTATGGCGTTAGCTTTCTGTAAAATCTAATTTTTATTGTCTGCAGTAGTTCCCTATGTATGTGTGGTAGGCTAGCTGTTATCGGAGGGGAAAACACAATCCGTAAGTAGAGTTCAAATTTTGGTATATAAAAAATCTTAGCGCCTATTTATGTTATAATTTTCGAATAAAAATAATTATATATATATATATATATATATATATATATATATATATATATATATATATATATATATCTGTGTGTGTGTGTGTGTGTGTGTGTGTGTGTGTGTGTGGATATAAACAACGAGATATTATTTGGTTGATTTACCAGTTGTGCCTGATGAGTTGGGGACCCATGAAACTCTATATTACACGATAAACGTAGGTATATGTGTATTTATTAATATATATATATATATATATATATATATATATATATATATATATATATATATACAATATATAATTGGTATATACGGAATGAATTCCAATAACCAACAATTACATCATCACTTGATAAGACACCGAGGGTGTCGAAACAAAATGGTTATTTTGTAGTGATTTTATAACATATTTATGTTATAAATTTTTTTTAAAAAAAATTAATTATATATATATATATATATATATATATATATATATATATATATATAGTTTTAGAGTAGATAAATGAAACGGCCAAATATAAGCAGGCGTGTATGCGTGTGCTGGTGTTCATACGCTGACGAGCAAATAAATTATCGTTAAATTTATGTATGAGGTGTAAATAGTGCCCAATGCGGTTATACAGAGCAAAGATATATATTAATTAATACATGTAAGCGTACTTATATATTGTGTATTTAGGAAACAATCTCTCTTTTATACATATTTTATTAAAGATGACTGCGATTTTAAACGACGTAGTGCGCTTTAGCATTTTATTATATTTTTCTTGTACTTATATATATATATATATATGGTACAGGTAATAAATTCGTTGGTATATAATCCAAGTGGATCCTAGTAATATGAAATATTAAAACTGATCCGCAAAAAAAAATTCAATTTATTTATTATAACAGACCATATAAATAGTATTACACAACAAAATACAAAATTATCTCATATTGGGGGTGAAAATTTTTATTATTATTTTTAATTTT